AACTACTCTCTCTCTCTCTCCTCTACCACGGTAGTCCACAATACTCTCTCTCCTCACTCAAGACGATCTAACAACTACTCTCTCTCTCTCTCTCTCTCTCTCTCCTCACCCAAGGGTATCCAACAATCTCTCTCTCCTCACTCAAAGGCATCTAACAATTCTCTCTCTCTCTCTCAGTCCTCACCCAAAAGCATCTAACAAAACTCATAACTTTTAAGAATCCTAGGTTAAATCTATCTCCATAAAACATTGGCATTTCCCATCCAATCAGCTTCCACACGTGTGTTCCCCAACTTGCACATTATTTTACACACTTTCACTATATAAGAAAGCTCTTCGAAATTATAAATCACACTTTCTCTCTTTATATAATTTTGTCTCGATATTTTATGTACTAGAACATGTAGCATGCTCCAGGGGAGCAAACTGTGCACTTGCTCCCTCGAGCATAAGAGCTTTTTTAGGAGGATTTAGTTGACCTAAAATTTCGGAATCCAGTTTAGAGTTATCAGTTGAGAATTTTGATCTTGAGCTCCTAAACACTTAAGTCTCTATTTAATCTAATGTTTTAAAATCCAGATTGGGCGGGTGAACGACCATTTGGGAAATTGGTTTGGCTATGTGAATTGCTGATTTGGATGATCTGACTGATCATCCTAGTGAGAACCAGTCAATAAAAAATTAAAATTAAAAAAAAATAAAAATAACTAAAAATAATAATTTAGAACTGGCCGGTTCCTTTGGAGAAATTCCTTGGGAACCGGCCCAATTCCCAATTCTAACTGCGAACCATGTCTATTCCCATCGATTCCCTATTCGGATAAAGCAATTCAATATGGATCATCGTTTTTTAGCACATGATTTAGTATAACATATTTGAGGGTAACATCAAAGTTAGAAAACTCAAAACTCATTTCTTTTCATTTGAATATAATAATCATCTAGTGATTTTTAGGTGGTTCTTAAAATTTCGTATCAAAACTTTTTTCAAGTTAGTCTTCGGCATGGGGAAGTAAGTGTACAATATGCTCCCACGGGAGCATATTATATGTGCTCTTAATTTTTTAAGGCGCGCATTTTATGTAATACTTTTGTTTTGGTATAACGGATCACAATTAAGCGGCATTTCAAATATAATAGATAAAAGGATCAAAATTAAGCGGCATTTAAAATATAATAGATAAAAGTGTGTGACAAAATTCGAAAAATAGACCTTTTAACTTTAAGCAGTCAAATGAAACAACTCTGGCCGCTCGATTTCACATCCAATAATTTAATCATCGCCTCTTTGTACCAAAAATAAATAGATTTATTGTTTATATTTAATTTTATAGCTTGGTTCAGGAGTTTACGATCCGTCCTATAAATACTCGAAGATAAAGTTTTACCTAATGGAGTAAAAGATCAATGTGTTCCTAAGCAAGCATATAATCTTTTGGAAAAAAATTATTATTTTTGGGTAATTCATTAGAAAAGCCCAGTCTTGCCGGTTTTTTTTATATAGAATAGGGAGTTAGCTTTTTTTAAGGTATC